ATTGTTCTGGAGTGTTATCTCTGATTGTTCTGTTCTGATGATTGGTCTGAATTATTGATCTGCAGTGCTTGTTCTGGAGTGTTATCTCTGATTTGTTTCTGGAGTTCTGATGATTGTTCTGTTAATGACTGCAGTGCTTGTTTCTTGGAGTGTTATCTCTGATTGTTCTGGAGTTCTGATGATTGGTGTGGGTTATTGATCTGCAGTGCTTGTTCTGGAGTTATTTCTGGTTTTTCTGTTTTTTTTTTTTTTTTTTTATATTGGTGTTCTTTGAAGAATCTAATAATTGATTATGTCGGTGCTCTTTGAAGGTTCTGATCAGATTTTTTTTTTTAGTTGGTGGATGTGTTCTGGTATTACTGGTGGATGTGTTCTGGTATTGAAGATTAGATGTTTTTCTTCCAGTTCAGTTGATTGATGTTGGTTCAATGCAAACACTTGGTTTGTCTTGCAGTTCTGTTATTGCAGACTTGATACATATTTGAAGTTGAAGTTTCTTGTGTTGTTCTGCTTCTTCAGTTTTGAAGTTTTCTTTAGTGAGAAAATGCAGTTCAGCTATTTGGTTCTTTAGTGAGAAAATGCAGATTTGAAGTTGAAGTTTCTTGTGTTGTTCTGTTTCTGCAGATTTGAAGTTTTCTTTAGTGAGAAAATGCAGCTCAGCTATTTGGTTCTTTAGTGAGAAAATGCAATCCAGCCGTTTGGTTCAATGCAGTTAGTTCTTTAGTTTGAACAATGGGATGAATCAAATGTAGCCGAGTTAAATTGCATGATGATCAAATGCAGCTGAGCTAAGTTGCATTTTTCAGCCACTTATGCAGTCCATTTTTCCAGCAGCTTATGCAGTCCAGTTTGAGGGGCAATGTTGGACAAATTCAGCACAATGCAGACAGTGCAATGTAAATGGCTTAGGCAGTCCAGTTTGAGGGGCAATGCTGGAAAAATGTCAAAGTGCAAAGTCATTGAAGGAAATGCTGCGTTTTAGCTCAAATAATAAACATTCAAAACACTGTCGTTTAGAGTACTAAAGTCTACTGAAATTGTATATGTAAAACAGTAGCTCACTCTTCTTTGTTATTAACGAAAAAGTGAAGTAAAAGGAATGTGTGTTTTCCTCTGTTACTCTCTCTTTCTCTGTTTACAGTTCTCTGTTCTTCAGTTGTAATCTCACACTGAGCTGGCAGAACAAATAACTCATGCTTTGAACGGGCCTATCCGTAAAGGCTTACCAAGGTTAGAGACAAGACATTCCATTGAGATCGACTCAAAAGATATTAATCCACAGATTCAAACACAACTAAAGTTTGCAAAATTAGATTTTAACATGTTACAGCTACAATATCAGAAAGAGGTTAGTAGCATCGCCAGGTAAGTTCAACTTCTTAAACTATTGCAAGCTCACAAAATAGTTTCTTCGATCTTATTAAATCTTAAGGATTATTAATAATGAGATATACTTGCATCGCAGGTGGTGGAAAGGTTTAGNTTTGAGTGAGATTTGAAATCTTAGTAGAAGAGGAAATAGAATGAGATTCTGATTTCCTATTTATACTCTGTTGCAGGCTAATGGGCTGAAACCCAGTTTAGCTTAACTTATAGGATAGCCCAACTCATAGAGTGGGTAGGTCGCAAGGTGATTTTAAGCGTGGGCCCAATCGGGATTGGGTTGAGTCCTTGGGCCGTGACATGTTTATTTCGTTATTGGGCCCCGTCAAGCCCAAGACGATTTTTGGCCCTAACACAAATTAAGCAGACAAGGGACGGGTTTGTTAATATTATTGTTAAAAAATAGGTTCTCATGTTGTAAAATTTATGTAACCAATATTAAAATAAATGGACTAAAATTAAAAATGAAGAATAATGGGACTAGAATGCTATTTTCCTTCTCATTTAGATGTAATCAATACAACAAACTGGAAGAAGGGATGGAGGGCCGCACACCATAGCAATAGAATGGCATGCAATAGTGTTAGAAAAAGGCAAGAGAGGCAACTAAGTAGCTGAAGTATGCCAAAAAGAGAAAGAGAAAGAAAGTCTTTTAGCTTATGAATTGTATTTTTCACTTGTGTATTTCTCTGTATAGAAGTTGTCAATTTATACAAGAATTATGTACTATGTAAGGAAAGAACTAATTACACAATCATAGGATTAATTGTAGGATCACATCAATCAAGGACAAGATTGTGTTATCTGTCTTTTCTAATTGTTCTTGTAATTGAGCTAAACATTTATTCACATATCAACATTCCCCCTCAAGCTGGAGGTTTATATATGTCATAAACTCCGAGCTTGTTCTAAAGATATGAATGTTGTTTGTGACTTAAAGGTTTTGTGAAGATGTCAGCTGGCTGATCTATGGTTTGAATATGCTTAGTCTTGATCATCCCTTATTGCATTTTGTCTCTGATAAAGTAGCAGTCAATTTCTATGTGTTTTATTCTCCATGAAATGGATTAGTTGCGATGTCATTTGCCGCTTAATTCAACTGGTATTTCTATCTGAATATCTAGATCTTTTAACAACCCAAGAATCCAGGTGATCTTGCATGTGGTTTTGGTCATTACTCTATATTCGGCTTCTGCTGATGAAAGAGAGACTGTTGATTATTTTTTTGTCCTCCATGAGATCAACGATCCCTCGAGTTTGATGCAGAAACCAGTGAGGGATCTTCTTATCATAGGGGCATGACCCCCAATCTAAATCACAATATGCCTTGAGACTCAAGTTTTCCCCTCGAGGCAAGAGAAGTCCTAGCCATTGGCATCCTTTCAAGTATTTGAGGACTTTAATTGCTGCTTCCATATGTGATCGTTTTGATGCATGCATAAACTGGCTGAGAATCTGGACTGCATAACAGATATCAGGCCGTGTCATTGTCAAGTAAATGAGACAATCAACCAGACGTTGATAACTAGAACTATCTTCAAGGAGTGGGTCTGTTTTTGAATCTTAAGCGGTAAGCTTCATGTTTTGTTTCACGGGAATAATACTTGGTCTACAAGTTGATAACCCTGAAACTGAGATTAGTTCTAGTATGTATTTCTGTTGACTAAGAGATGTTCTTACTGAGGATGCCCATAAAATATTTTGGTAACTCCCAGATCCTTGATGTGAAACGACTTGTGCAATTGCTCTTTTAATGCCTTGGTGGCAATTTCGTCATTTCTTGTGATAAGAATATCAGTGACATACATTATAAGACTAACGAAGGATTTATCTTGATGTCAAGTGAAGAGAGCATAGTCATGTTTGGACTATATGAAGCCTATGGTAGTGAAAGCCTCTGTAAATTGGGTCTTGAGGATTGGGCTGTGAGCCTGGTTGACCTGTTGGGCTTTTAGAATTGGGCTATGGGCCTAGTGGCTATGTGGTCAATTAAGGAGTGGGTTGTAGGCCTGTTTGAGTGGGTTATGTGATTTGCGGGTCTGGTTGAATGGGTTGTGTGTTTCATTGGTTGTTTGGCTAATTGGGATTCATTTTGATTGTTTGTTGGTTTTGACTAATTGTTGTGGGTTTGCACTAATCCAAGTGCCTTTTGTAGGCAAGAAGAAGAGAACAAAAACTTGAAAAGCAAAGAAGATGTGGACAAGAAGAANATTTGAATTTATCTATCATCCTTATTTAGTTATTTATTAGCTCAAATTTTTATCCATTCTTTATTCATTTTGGTTCACATTTAAAATTATGACAAAAAAAATTGCCCATCTAATATTATTCATGTTTTATATCGTTGATGCTTGTTTTTTATACCAATGACTTCATACGTGTAAAGTACTAAGAAGTTACACGTGAACAGATTATAGAAAGTGGGTGAAGTACTATAATGACAATTGCATTTAAGTACGTAAAATAAATAATAAGAGAGTTTTTATAATGGTTCGGGTGCTTATAAGCGACTCTTACATCCATTGTGATTTGTATTTATAAGTGCTCTTTTCCTGATCGTTATACAAGTTTACGAGGGTTGTGATCTGTGATTTGCGATTACAAGTGTTTCTGTTCTAAGAGAATGTTAAGTCAGTCTATTTCTAATAGTGTGTTTACTATTTGCTTTGTGTAATTTGTGTGTCTCTAACCTCTATTTTGTGAGGGGGAGAGCTGTCTATTTATACTAATTTTGCTTAAGGTAATGGGTGGTTTTTTGCAAATTGCAAGTAGTCTGATGGCGTGGACATTCTTCATGTCTTCCAATTCGTTGAGAACTTTCATGTATATCTTTAAATTAAATGGGGTTTGGACAGGTGTGCAACCCAAATTCACCCTTACACTACATTCATCTTGAGGCAGTTTGAGTTTTGACTTTTGATAGCTAATATTCTTATTGTCTTTGGATGTATGGTGAAGAGATTTACTAAATCCTGATCGATGGAGATGATGTCAATGGGTGTCAACCCTTACTTTTAGGCATAACATATATTCAAATTTATAAGTACCAAGTATCAACAACTCAATCAAATAATTTATAGAATTTAGAAGGTTAAGAAAAAAAAAAAAAAAAATTGGTGTCATTTACCTAATTAATATTGAAAGATATAGTTTATCAATTGATTAGATGTGATAGAGTCAACTTTGGTAAAATTCAATATGCATACAGGACAAATTTGGTGTTGAGTACAGGTGAAAAAACAATTATAATATATTATTATTGTTAACTAATATGAGAATTAAAATTTGTCACTTTCATATGATTATGATCCTCTCTGTCTGGTTAAATCATGCGATTTTATCCAAGAGCAGGAGTATCATAATCTTAATAAGATTACGCGCACAGTATCGTTATTAATTTAATAAGGTAATAAAATCAAGATTAGAAGATAAGAATCAGAGAATGTTTGAAAGAAAAGAAACTTAGAAATGTAGTGACAACATACAAGACTTAAAAGTAGTGTACAGGGTTGGCATTTGGATTTTGGCAAACACAAAAAAGCACTTCCATTTTAACACCTTTATTTCGTTGTTGTGTACATCATCATACTCTACATAAATACTTGTCTCTCTGTACTTCTGACGGTTCACTGTCACTCTTTACACACATCCAACTCCACACTTCTTCACTACTTCACTTCTGCAAAGTTTCCTCACACTGTTTCTTTCCATGACAAACCATAGTTTCTTGCTTCTTTTCTAAGCTTTGGCTTCTTCTTCTTCTCTTTATAGTCCCCACAATTCTCAAAATGACAAAGAAATTACAAGAATATAATCATCATAAGCAAGGTCACCTTCTGTTACTTCATAAATCTTGGTATTTTCTTCTTTTTATCCAAGTTATTTGCAGTTTAGTGGCTTTGGCTTTAGCGGATGTTGTGGATAAAGATAAAAATGCATTACTTCAGCTCAAATCTGCCATTATTGAAGACCCACTAGGGTTAACTTCTAATTGGAACCCTAAAGACACGGACTTTTGTTCTTGGTATGGTGTTACCTGTGACCCAGTTTCTCGTCGAGTTACTGCTCTCAACCTGTCCTCTGATCTCAACCATACTTGCTCTCTACTTTCTCTTTCAGCTACTGGAGGTAACTTTTCTTTACCCTTTTCTTGCCGGCGTGAGAGGGTTGCCAATAATTCTTCATCAAAATTGAAAGGACAGTTGTCACCTGCAATTGGCGGTCTTACTCAACTCAGGGTTTTATTACTTGGGTTTAATGGGTTCTTTGGAGAGTTGCCTCTGGAAATTGGCCGGCTTTCTCTATTGGAGATTCTTGATTTGGGGTTTAATGCTTTTTATGGACCTATACCACTCACTCTTCAAAATTGTACTTCTTTACGGGTCATTAATCTTTCTGGGAATCAACTTAACGGAACAATTCCAGAATTTTTTGGTCATTTTACAGGTTTGCAAGTTGTGTCTTTATGGTTTAATTTCTTAAGTGGTTCAATTCCCCAGGAATTGGGTGAAAATTGTGGAAGTCTTGAGCATATTCATTTAGCTGGTAATTTACTTTCTGGTTCCATTCCTTCAAACTTGGGGAATTGCATTGAGCTGCGGTCGTTAATATTGTCTTCAAATAGGTTGCAAGATGATATTCCTGCGAGTTTTGGTCAACTCTTGAATCTTGAAGTTCTGGATTTGTCCCAGAATTGCTTAAGTGGTGTTGTGCCGCCAGAGTTGGGCAACTGTAAGCAGTTAAAAGTGCTTGTGCTGAAAAATAGCTATGACCCTCTGTTTTCAAGAGATAATGATAGTTTGCCAATTCAGCCGGTGGTTGAGGGGGAAAAGGATTTTAACTTTTTTGACGGGCTATTGCCAGATAGTATTACTAGACTGCCAAATCTTAGTGTACTCTGGGCACCCAGCATAAATTTGGAGGGGACTTTTCCACAGAACTGGGAATCGTGTTCTAAATTGGAGATGCTAAACTTAGCACAAAATTTCTTTACAGGACAAATACCAGCATCATTCGGTAAATGTAAGAACTTGTACTTTCTTGATTTGAGCTCTAACAACTTGACTGGGTTAGTTCCTGAAGAAATTTCTGTGCCATGCATGGTTTTCTTTAATGTTAGTCAGAATTTTTTGTCCGGAGATATTCATAAATTTTCTCACGGTGAATGTTCTAAGATGTATGTGAATTTGTCAATGTCACATGTGGACTTCCTTGGTCTTTATAAGTCTTTCTTCTACAGTAATGCGCTCAAGACCATTGCCCCTTTGGCTTCTCCTTCCAATGGTTTGGTTGTATTGCATGATTTTAGCAGCAATCTGTTCACTGGCCCACTTCCTCCCCTTTTAATTCATTCTGATGATTTCCCTAGTAAGCCTTTCTATGGTTTTTGGTTTGGTGGGAACAACCTTAAGGGAAATATTTCAACATATTCATTTGATCTGTGCCGCAGTTTGGATGGCCTGATCTTCGATATTGGTAAAAACAAAATTATAGGTGAACTTCCTTTGGATATGGGCAGCCATTGTAGATGTATGAAATTTCTGAGCTTGGCAGGAAATGAATTTGTTGGTCAGGTTCCTAAGACTTTTGCTAACTTGGATTCCCTAGTTAACCTTAATCTCAGTAGAAATCAATTGCAAGGTGTCATACCGTCCTATATTGGTAAGCTGAAGAACTTGAAGTATTTTTCTTTGTCCAGTAATAACTTTACTGGTGCTATACCTCAAGAGTTAGTTCAGCTGACATCATTGGAGGTTTTGGAACTTTCTTGGAATTCTTTCTGTGGGGAGATACCACCTGATTTGATCAAACTTGAGAACCTTAATATTTTGAGGTTAGATCATAACAACTTCACTGGAAAAATACCCACTGGCTTCAGTACCACAGCTTCACTCTCACTGTTCGATGTGTCTTTCAACAATTTGTCTGGACCTGTCCCTCAAAACTCCAATTTAATAAAATGCGAAAATGTGCAAGGAAATCCCAATCTTCAACCGTGTCATGATGATCCTTCATCCTCTGAGTGGGAGCAGCAACATTCTGGTGGTATTTCCCAACAAGATGCTAATTCTCCGACTGGAAGCATGCAGAGAAACAGCAGTGTGTTAAATCCTATAGAAATTGCCTCCATCACATCAGCCACAATCATCTTTTCTGTGCTTGTAGCCTTGGTGCTCCTCCTTGTATGTATGAAGAAATTTTCATGCAATTCTGTGGCTGATCGTGGTTCAGTAAGGAAAGAGGTTGTAATTTTCCACAATATTGGTGCGCAGCTGACATATGAAAATGTTGTTAGGGCTACTGCTGGTTTCAATGTTCAAAACTGCATTGGAAGTGGAGGGTTTGGAGCCACATACAAGGCTGAGATCAGTCCAGGAGTTGTAGTGGCAGTGAAGCGGCTTTCAGTTGGGCGGTTTCAAGGTGATCAACAGTTTGATGCTGAGATCAAAACACTTGGAAGAGTGCAGCATCCTAACCTTGTAACATTGATAGGTTACCATGTCAGTGAGGGAGAAATGTTCCTAATCTACAACTACTTGCCTGGTGGCAATCTAGAAAAATTCATCCAGGAACGATCAAGGAGGAATGTGGAATGGAGTATGCTGCACAAGATTGCCTTGGATGTTGCACGTGCCCTAGCTTATTTACATGATGAGTGTGTCCCTAGGGTATTGCATCGTGATATCAAACCAAGCAACATATTACTGGATAATAACTTAAATGCATATCTTTCTGATTTTGGCCTTGCAAGACTTTTGGGTACTTCGGAGACACATGCTACAACTGATGTAGCAGGGACTTTTGGTTATGTTGCTCCTGAATATGCAATGACATGCCATGTTTCTGATAAGGCAGATGTGTATAGTTATGGTGTTGTCCTTCTTGAATTAATATCTGACAAGAAGGCTTTGGATCCATCATTCTCTTCCTTTGGAAATGGTTTCAATATAGTGGCTTGGGCAAGTATGCTACTCCTTCAGGGGCGGCCTAGTGAGTTTTTCACAGCTGGGCTATGGGACAGTGGACCCCATGATGATCTGATTGAGATGCTTCATTTGGCTATTACATGTACTGCTGAATCTCGTTCTACCAGACCTTTTATGAGGCAAGTTGCCCAGCGGTTAAAGCAGATTCAACCCCCATCTTAGTGGAAGTTATTAAGATACCCACTTCTGTAAGTTAACACTATCAATCTAATGATTTGTAGTTCACCATTGGTTTTATCACTGATTTTAAGCTACATTTCCTGTAGAGAATCCAATAGAGGTAGCCTTGTGATATTTTGTCGTCAATTCTTTTCATTTTAAAATATTTGTTATCTTTGATGAAAGCTGCTTATTCAGTGTACCACGTTTCTATTCTACTCGTGTGATTGTGAAGCCTTCTTGATTTCATATACCAACACCATGACTTCCAGCATAGAGTTTTTATTTTTTGCTTGGATTGTGTTGATGCAAAGCAACAAGTATGAGTTTCACCAAATTTCATTTTTGATGGCAGTTGTTGCTTCAGGTAAAGATTAAATTATGTAATTGACTGTAGAATCATTTCAATTCATTTAATTTCTCCGGTATATTGTTTTTGGAATTTTTTTTGAGATTTCGCTCTAGTAATAGTCTCTTTAAGAAAGTTTTCTATTATTTATGACAAGACGAGTATATTTTAGTACTGAATTTACCAGAAATGCATATCCTCTGAACGAACATGGCTGTTGCTCTCACCATTCCCTGCCCTGGGGATTTTGATTTTGATTTAGTGGAAATCTTCTTGGTAGGTACGTGTTTCTGCAATAGAATTGATAGCACTTGAAATTATTGATTGATTAGTTATTATCCAATTAAATCATGGATTTAAACCCTCTGCCTTCATAAAATTGTGTATTGGCGTATGCTTGGAATCATTCCTTGGTTGCTTATTTGACATATGACAGTGATGAATTAAACTTATATCTGCTTAGCTCTGATTGTGCTTCTGAAATATCATTTGATCTCTTCCCCACAATTATATCAAATGCTATTGGGTGTGTACAGCTTTGTCCGAATCATAAATTGGGCTGCTGGATGAATGTTGACATGTATGGGTTTAGTAATTAGATAGGAGTTGGGCTGCTACAAGGAACTCCACTGGAGTATCATCAACAAGGCCTTGGCGTTACCTACAATAACAGCCAAGAGAATAATGGTGCTAATTAATACACCTTTAATAAGATTAAACCATATACAACTCTCTTAATTGTAGTATTTTGACCTTAAATTTAACTGATTACAAATTCACACGCAGCACCTGTTTTACTGATAGTAAGACCAAGATAGATGCCATTGCCAGTGGATGGCTTCACGTGCAGCAGCAATCTTTGCTGTCACGGACTCAACTCACAACATTTGATAAAGAGCTTTTTATAAGTTCCAAGAATCATCATAAAGCATGGTTTCCATCAGTTTGCATACAAACTTTTTCAATTATACAGTGGTCCATGTTGAATTTTAACCAATTCAAGTATTAAGAAAATGGTGAGACGTATATAAATGAAGAAAAGAAAAATCAAAGGCAAAAAGTGATATGGTTAGAGCTGCTATTACTGATGGGGTAATCAAACACAATCCCACAACAAATCGTCCTCCTTTTTCCAGTAATGCCATACAAAAAACAAAATTTGGTTGCCATAGAACCGTTAACGGTGGCATATATAGGTTTCTTGTCTCAGTCAATCTTGAACAATAAACACGCCATCTCTCAGAGAGAGGTTGGCTTAATGGTGGTTATAGACTTTTAGTATTATTTCAAATGTGGCTATCTGCATTTCCAAACCTGTTGATTCATTGGCATCAATATCAAACACGTCAAAGACTTAGCTTTTATCCTGCATTAAATACAAATGTAGTGATGAAACTTTGAAAGTTTAAACCACTGAGTTTTGCATAATCCTAAGTTGAAGAGTCTCTGTTTAAACCCTGAGCGCGCTATGATCACCCCCCTATTGAACTCTCTTTCACATGAACCACACAACTTTTAACATTATTGCCGTGAGTGTATATATATATATATACATAGATGAATGATTAAATTTTCATGGTTGTTTTCAAGAACTAGGCTTTGTAATACCAGAAGCTGAGAAATATGGAGTGTATTTGATCTTAAGCTTAGTGAATAACTACAACGATTATGGAGGAAGACGACAGTATGTTAAGTGGGTGACGGAACGTGGTCAGTCTTTGAAGAATGAAGATGAGTTTTACACAAATCATGTCGTCAAAGAATACTACAAGAACCATGTCAAGGTGAATTTTCTCTCTAATTAATGAGTTTGATTATTTTTAATTCTAAGAATATAATTGAAAATGGTTTTGAAATCACTTTTGCGCATAGGATAAAAGACTTGAAATAATTAAAATTAATGCGGACGTGACAATCGTGTAGGCCGTATTGACGAGAACCAACTTGATAAATGGTGTGGGTACAAAGATGATCCCACCATTTTTTCATGGGAACTCATGAATGAACCTAGTTGCTCAAGCTGACCTGTAATAGCTACTTCCTACTCAAATACTCTTAAAATATATATAATAAAATACATATCAAATAGTATCAAGAGTTGGGCCCAAAATTTTCTTTTATTAAATATATACATTCGTTACACAAAATTTGTATGATGTACAAAAGTTATAAAAAACATGGTGGACAGTGTAACCACTTCCCCTCGCGTGCCGAAATCCATCTGACCGTGTCCTCACCTAGATCCTGCAAAACATAGGAAACAACGGGGTGAGCATTAAAACAATGCTCAGTAAGTAAATCCTCAACTCATCTAACTCCGTAACTCTCTCTAATTCTTTCCTTACAATTCTAATTTACTCTCTCTTTTATACTTCTCTCTATTTTCTCTTTCTCATAACTCTTTGCTACTAACTCTCTTTTGCAAGTCACGGCCTCATCTTACCGGAGGCACGGTTGGGACTCGCTCCCGCTCTCCGTGACTTTTACTCATTCTCAGCCGATCAGACTCGGTTATGCATGGATTCGGAACCTTTGGCTATGTGAGTATATAATCTCTCTCTCGGGTACTCTCGAGTATAGTCCTCATCTGCATGCACTCTCGCGGGCTACACCACTTTTCTCTTTCATACTCATGCCGCTCTCTCAATGCAGTGTACATGCGGGAATACTCTACCCATTACTCACAGGTTCCCCATCGCACAACCTACTCTATTCTTTTATTTAACACTACTTTCTCTTTGTTCTCTAGTGCTCATTCTCTCTTTCTCTTTACTCTTAAAGTAGCTTATACTCAAATTCTCTACTATTTCTTAAGCTACTTCTTAAGTGCATAAATAATGCGTATGGACGGCTCATGCTCACTAATGCACTTATGAAATGTCAATATGCAATGTTGCAAGAATTAAGGTTTACTAATCATACTCATACTTCTCTTAGGCATTTCATCAAACAACTCATGTGCATATAAAAACTCTATTATAATTACTACTCTACTTCATTCTGTAGCCATCCAAAATGGGAGAAAACTCCCTCATATAACCATAGTCCCTGTCAAGAAAAGCACTTCCAAAAAGGGTTTACACAAAATCTCTCAAACTTCATCTCAATTTCCATCTCTCAATACACATTAAAACACTTCTCATACATTAAGTGTATCCAACAACCATAAAATAGATACTCATCTCAACTCAATTTCTCAACAAGCATAATACATATTTATACATACATACATCTCTACTCAAAGGCTTTTTCAAATCTCAACTTGGTTGGATTTACTTACCTTGTGAATAAGTGACTTCTCTATCACTTCTCCTTCCCCTTGTTGTCTTGTCTTCTCTCTACAACTTTGAACAATAACAATAACAACAATATAAGACTTCAATATAACTATAAGCAAACACACATCTAAAGCAAGAATCCTTACCTTAGGATGCTTTAGATTAAATCTCTACTGAAATTACCCAAAAGCTCCTTAAAACTCCTTAGAAAGTCTTGGAAGATTGAATGGAGGATTGAGAGAAATTAGAGAATGGGTATGGCAGTGGAAATGAGTGAAATGAAGAGTTTTCTACACTTAACCCTTTTTAGCTCATATTATAACCATCATTTCCCATTTTGCCCTTGCTCTTCCTTAGAAATCCCATCTATATCCTTTGATTCATTACACTCACACCCCCACACTAACCTATTCTCCATGAAATTTCCTTACATTTCACTCCCCACTTTTCCAGCTAATTAGGGGTAGAATGGTCATTTTACCCCTATGGAGAATTCTCTAGAAATCTCAAAAAACTTTTCTGTCGTCCTGTCGCCGCGGCGAAGCAACTTTCGTCACCCCGGCGAAAACTTACAGAGCTGACATCGCCATTACAAAGCCAACGTCGCCGCGGCGAAGACTGTTCTTCCAAAATTCCTCAAGTCCCAACCAATTTCAAGGCAAACACTCAACCAACTCAACATACAAACTCAATTAAATTTGGATCAATGAACATTTAAGTAATAGAACAAATCTTAACTACGTACCTCAAGTGGGGCGTTACACGACCCCTCCGGAAGGCAACTCCAGGTTAATTTCTCTTTCATGCACAAACAATATTGTATCGCTAATTTACGTAGATTAAATTCTTAAATGTTTTATCATTTTATGGGATTGTTGACTTTTTTCTTTTGAATATTTTAACAGGAGTGGATCAGAGAAATGGCAGCACATGTTAAATCCATCGATAAATTTCATCTACTGGAAATAGGGCTTGAACGTTTCTATGGAGAATCAATTCAAAGCAGGAAGCAATACAATCCTAATAGTTATCGGGACTGATTTCATTACCAATAATCAAATCCCAGAAATCGATTTCGCAACTATTCATATTTACCCCGAGCAATGGTAATATTAATATGTCAAGAAAAACATCATCCTAATTGTTTTCATAATTTGTAATAGTAAAAATCGTCTATCACAAATTATGAATGGTAGGTTATCACCTAATTCTAGTGATAAGGCCCAATAAGCTTTTGTGGATAGATGGGTACAAGCTCATATCCAAGACTTTATTCACTCCTTAAGAAAACACTCATTATTGGTGAATTTGGGAAATCTGATAAATTTCCTGGATATAGCATTGAGAAGAGGAACAATTATTTCATACTAATGCATCTTGATTGACGATTTTTGGAGAAAAAATGTTTGTTCGTAAAAAAATGACAAAGCTTTTTCATAGTCGATAATTGTACATCTAAATTCTAATGCATAAAGATACTTATATTTTTTAACGCAAAAAATAAATAAATAAATAAATAGTATAGTAAGTCATAATTTAAGGAAATTGGAAAAAATTTTATATTAAGATTGTTCTCTTTTTATCAAAGCCCAACGGCTCGAAAAAGATTCAATGCTTATGCAATAAATGTTTTAAAAGTTTATTTTTTGGCCATGAGTTAATGAGAACCCATTTAGTTGGAACTCCCAAAAGTTGCAGTACATATTTAAAATTTAATCACTAATAACAAAAAATAATAAATTAAACAAACAATCATTTAATGAGCTAATTATTGATACACAAAAATTCATGCCTGTGAACAACAATTGTTAATTACCATATTTCCTTAATTAATATTAATTATTGTAGACAATAAAATCTACGGTTCATTCGGAAAGGACTAAAATCATGTGATAATTGAGCCACTGAAAATTTGATGGACCTACACAAAGAAGAAAAGATAATGTGAAGGCTTGGGTGACACCGGATTGGTGTCTGTCGTAGGCTTTCTGACGCTCAAATCAGTGAGATTGAAGATATTTTAGTGAAAGCTGGGAGTGGGAAAGGTTACTGGAATAATGCGGCTAGGGCTAGACTAATACAAAGCGGCCAAAGCCTGGCTTTGCAATGGTTGAGAGTGATAAAGTTAGTTGGAACTAAGCTTTACGACGGGAGAGGCGGTGATTCTTGGGAGCAAGAACTTTGAGAGCTAAGTGTTATGTGTTATTGACTGCCTAATGAGAGGGTTTGCCCCTGCTTATATAGTGAACTCAAGAGGTTGGAATTCTAGTAGAACTCTAAGTCCTACTTGGTAGATGAGTCTCAATTAGAAAGGAAGCATTATCACTTGCCTTTATCAGATTAGGCTTACCATTTCAAGTAAGATTTAGGATCTTGACTGAAGTTGAAAGTAAATAGGATTCTAATTCCTATTTTGAACTGTTGTGGGCTAATGGGCTGAAACCCAATTTAGCTTAATTTATAGGATAGCCTAACTCATAAAGTGGTTAGTTCACAAGGTGGATTTAAACATAAGCCCAACCTGAATTGGGCTGAGACCTTGGACTGTAATATGTTTATTTCGTTATTAGGCCTAGTTAGACCCAATACAATTTTTGACCTATACAATGTTCTTTACAGCCGATCCATCTACAAGGGTCAAGGTCACATCAGTATTCCAACAAGCCTCTAAATATGTCATGAATATTGCAAGAACTTGGGCTTTTAGCGATGGTGGTTATAGACCGCTTCAGTATTCTCCTGGTTCATACAATGAAGATATGTTTTAAGGTGCTTAATTTCTTTACTAAAAATTCCTTCTTTTTATCATATATATATATATATATATGAAAAATGATAGAGTTACCGAATTCGTACACCGAATGACGTGGTAAAATCCTGATCGTCAATTAATATTAACTTATAATGAATCAACGGTCAGGATTGCGTCACGTCATTCGGTACACGAATTCGGTGTACATCCTTCGGTAACTGTAGTATTACTCTATATGTATACACACACACGAAGTATTAAATTTTCATGGTTATTTTCACAGACCGGACTTTGTAATATCATAAGCTGAGAAATATAGAGTTTATTTGATCTTAAGCTTAGTGAATAACTACAATGATTATGGAGGAAGACAACAGTATGTTAAGTGGGGGACGAAACATGGTCAGTCTCGGAAGAATGAAGATGAGTTTTACACAAATCTTGTTGTCAAAGAATACTACAAGAACCATGTCAGGGTGAATTTTCTCTCTCATTAATGAGTTCAATTATTTTTAATTCTATGAACATAATTGAAAATGGTTTTGAAATCACTTTTGCGCATAGTATATAAGTCTTGAAATAATTAAAATTAACGTGGATGGGACAATCGTGCAGGCCTTGCTGATGAGAACCAACTCGATAATTGGTGTAGCGTATAAAGATGATCCCACCATCTTTTCATGGGAACTCATGAATGAACCTCGTTGCTCAAGTGACCCCTCCGGAAGGCAACTTTAGGTTAATTTCTCTCTCATGCATAAACACTATATTATATTGCTAATTTACGTAGATTAGGCAGCACATGTTAAATCCATCGATAAATTTCATATACTGGAAATAGGGTTTGAAAGTTTCTATGGAGAATCAATTCAAAACATGAATCAATACAATCTTAACAGTTATCCTATTGGGACTGATTTCATTGCCAATAATCAAATCCCAGAAATCGATTTCGCAACTATTCATATTTATCCCAACCAATGGTAATATATCAAGAAAAGCATCATTCTAATTATCTTCATAATTTATAATTGTGAAAATCGTCTCTCACAATTTATGAATGACAGGTTTTCGCCTAATTCCAGTGATGAGGCCTAACAAGCTTTTGTGGATAGATGGATACAAGCTCGTATCCAAGACTCTAATTCACTCCTTAAGAAACCACTCATTACTGTTGAAATTGGGAAAATTGATAAATTTCCTGGATATAGCATTGAGAAAAAGGAACAATTATTTCGGGCGTATATACAATACAGTTTTCATTACGGCAAAAGTTGAGGGCTCATGTGTGGGTGGGCTTTTTTGGCAACTCATGGTCCCAACAATGAATAAGTTTGGTGATGGCTATCAAGTCATTCTGAAGGAGAGCCCAACAACTACCAATATCATCGCTGAACAATCTCTCAAGCTGCGGGTGTGTTTGGCACACTATTTTTTTCTATCCTGTTGTACTATCCTATCCTAAGAAATTAATTACTTTTCTATTCAACTCAAAATCCAATCATATTCTATTCTACTTAAAATATTTAATAATTACATTTCTCAATAAAAGTTTAAAAATTAACAAAAGCATCCCCATCCACCCAAGCCACTATCACTCGACAGCCAGCGTCGGTGCCGTAACGATGCAAGATCGACTGGATCTGACCGGTCGTGCATCGATCTATTCATTTCAGGCCAGATCTACGACAAAAAATCTGACCTTTGATAGCCAGATTTGGCCGTTGACGATGGCCATACCTTGGCCATCGTTTGGCCGTCATCAACAACCATATTTTTTGCTATAGATCTAGCCGTTTCCAGCCAAATTAGTGCACGACATGCCAGATCCAACCAGTCATGTACTATTCCGACGACTTTCAACCACCGTTCGACAGTGGTGGCCAGTTGCCCGTAATTATTGGGTGGGTGGTGGTATTTTTGGTAATTTAGAAACTTTTTATTGTGAGAAGTGTTTAGTTAAATTAACAAATATAGGGAGTTAAAAAGGAATCTAAATATTTTAAGAAAATATTTTCCAAACACACATTATCAACATCCTATCCGATTTCATTAAATAATATTCTATTATAGAATGCTATTCTGAAAAGTAAAACAAACAGACTGGCACCCATGAAATAAAATTTGCCGAGTTTGTAATTTATAAGGCAAATATCCAGTCAATCAAGAAAAATGATCATGTTGATTTAGCTTGAAAACATAAGAGAGATAACATAAGAGATTATTGATAGATTTTCTTAACTCAAAAATTCACATGGCAAAATCCAGAGGAAGAATTTGGAGAAATTTCATTTGCTTTTCTAAAAGTTCCATAACCCAGTCCTCCACAGAATGAAGTGGTGATATATACATATCTATGCACCCCTGATGTTCCTCATTGCCATATCTTTGTTCAATTATCTTAAATGATCGTCCCATCTTTTATTGTTGAATTTTTCAATACTACTGTAATTCCAGATCGAATGTAGAATCCTTCAGATGGTCTCTCTGCCTCTTCCACCTTCTGCTCATACAACGTAATGATTTAATTTTGAGTTTTAACTGGATGAACGATAACTAGAGGGGAACAAATAAAGAAAATTTTATAACTTACATCCTTGTTTGCAATTATCACATTCTTTCCAATTCTTGCATTCTTGTCAATTATACAATTCCTGTATCAAAGAGAGATTCGAAATCATATGATTAATGTGTGATCATGACTTTCATGTTTAGGATTTCTCGTTTACTTTAATTGATTTTTCTTTTTTCATTTTACACTAAATATTATAGGGAAATGCCTTGTTGATTTTTAAGTGAAAGAAACTTAACGTAATTTTGGTATCTCTTCCAATGCCAACTGGAACTTTGCCTTGTGCCAAAAGAGCTGCTATTTCCACCTCAGTTTGGTAATAGTCAGCACCCATCATCATGGTATCCTGTTAGATGTAACCGTAAAATATGATACCAAAGAAGCAAGCAGTAATCCTCTACCAATTGGATTCAATGGACTAAACAAACTACTTTTGACTCTTGAAGGACGACCACACTTCAAAAAATTTAATACAAGTATAAGCAAATTCAGAACTTTTAATGAATTGAACAAGATCTAGATAGATATTGCTGTCCTCTGAATAATAGAAATGATGAAAGAGAACAAGGAATAAAGGTTACCTTTAGCTCCACACCATACTCCAGTCTTGAACGAATCCCCACAATGGAATGTTCCACACTGCACTCCCTCAAAAAGCACCCATGCGAAACTATAGAATCTTTAACCTGTAATAACAAACAGGGGTTATAAGGTCTCGAGACTCTCGACCTGTGGCGCCATAACATCTTAAACGGTATGGTACTAAGTTGAAATTATACCTGGCATTTCTCTATTTTTGTTGGAGGTAGAAAACGAGGAGATGTGAAAATTGGTTTGGATGGATCAAAGAATTGGAACTTGGGAGGCTTCAGAAAAAAGAGAATAAAAGCATCATACTAACTTGTTTTAGACAAGAAAAGACAACTGGCAGAGAATGTAAAAGAACTACCTGATCAGTCAAGGATAAATTTGCATCAAAGAAGGATTTAATAGTCCCGATATCTTCCCAGTAGCCATTGTATAGATACGCCTATCATGAAAGGAAAGATATAAAAGTGCTTGAGATGCTTTCTGTTATAATAATAGGAAACGGGAGCTCAATGCAAACTAGTACATGCATACATGTCAAATCATCCTATTCTCATCATCAAATTATTAATTAATTAAAACTTCTGCTAGATTCAAGATTCTACCTGAACATTAAAATCTTTTGCAGCCATCGGAATTACTTCTGACCCAAAATCATTGGCCTCTGGATAATGCCACCTGTAGAAGAAAAAATAAATTTAAGAGAAATAGGCATTATTCCTGTCAGCAGTCCACTTATATTCAATGACAAAAAAAAATCATTTAACCTTCATAATAACTCTGCTTATGTTTCTGCTAACTATTAAAGCAAGGAAAAACATACAAGATAAAAATGTGTGGATACTACATGTCATCACTAAAACTTGGCAAAAAATGTAAAAAAACCTCAGAAGCTTCAATAGAACTTCTGTCTTGAACAGATATACACCCATTGATGCAATGTATGGGGTATTCTTTGCTTCTTGAGCTGATAGTCCTAGAATAGTGGTGTCTACTTGCTGAGACAAAAAAAAAAAAATTTCAATCAGCTTCAATCTAGTTTCCATGGACTACTCATTCAGTAACGGATTTCTTTAGATGTTAATTTAAGGAAAAGTGGACAGGTTAACAACCATAGATCTCAAACTTTCACCCTTGGGTTTCTCTAGAAACTGCCTGATCCTTCCTGTTTCATCAATCTTCACCAACCCAAAATCCGAGGCACGACTGCAGGAAAGAAGACATTAAAAGGAACTTCAACCAAGTAATTGAAAAGCAATTATATCTTTCTAGGACGGATTGCACTCTTTTGCAAGCTATTGGTACATGCTCAATCAAAATTGGGTCTATTATGATATATAAATAATTAATTACCTGTTATCTACGGGAAGACAAGAAACTGATATATCAGCACCTGAATCAATGTGATGCTGCGAACAGAGATCATGTTTTTCAAAACAATGAACAGATTTGGCCGTTGACGATGGCCATACCTTGGCCATCGTTTGGCCGTCATCAACAACCATATTTTTTGCTATAGATCTAGCCGTTTCCAGCCAAATTAGTGCACGACATGCCAGATCCAACCAGTCATGTACTATTCCGACGACTTTCAACCACCGTTCGACAGTGGTGGCCAGTTGCCCGTAATTATTGGGTGGGTGGTGGTATTTTTGGTAATTTAGAAACTTTTTATTGTGAGAAGTGTTTAGTTAAATTAACAAATATAGGGAGTTAAAAAGGAATCTAAATATTTTAAGAAAATATTTTCCAAACACACATTATCAACATCCTATCCGATTTCATTAAATAATATTCTATTATAGAATGCTATTCTGAAAAGTAAAACAAACAGACTGGCACCCATGAAATAAAATTTGCCGAGTTTGTAATTTATAAGGCAAATATCCAGTCAATCAAGAAAAATGATCATGTTGATTTAGCTTGAAAACATAAGAGAGATAACATAAGAGATTATTGATAGATTTTCTTAACTCAAAAATTCACATGGCAAAATCCAGAGGAAGAATTTGGAGAAATTTCATTTGCTTTTCTAAAAGTTCCATAACCCAGTCCTCCACAGAATGAAGTGGTGATATATACATATCTATGCACCCCTGATGTTCCTCATTGCCATATCTTTGTTCAATTATCTTAAATGATCGTCCCATCTTTTATTGTTGAATTTTTCAATACTACTGTAATTCCAGATCGAATGTAGAATCCTTCAGATGGTCTCTCTGCCTCTTCCACCTTCTGCTCATACAACGTAATGATTTAATTTTGAGTTTTAACTGGATGAACGATAACTAGAGGGGAACAAATAAAGAAAATTTTATAACTTACATCCTTGTTTGCAATTATCACATTCTTTCCAATTCTTGCATTCTTGTCAATTATACAATTCCTGTATCAAAGAGAGATTCGAAATCATATGATTAATGTGTGATCATGACTTTCATGTTTAGGATTTCTCGTTTACTTTAATTGATTTTTCTTTTTTCATTTTACACTAAATATTATAGGGAAATGCCTTGTTGATTTTTAAGTGAAAGAAACTTAACGTAATTTTGGTATCTCTTCCAATGCCAACTGGAACTTTGCCTTGTGCCAAAAGAGCTGCTATTTCCACCTCAGTTTGGTAATAGTCAGCACCCATCATCATGGTATCCTGTTAGATGTAACCGTAAAATATGATACCAAAGAAGCAAGCAGTAATCCTCTACCAATTGGATTCAATGGACTAAACAAACTACTTTTGACTCTTGAAGGACGACCACACTTCAAAAAATTTAATACAAGTATAAGCAAATTCAGAACTTTTAATGAATTGAACAAGATCTAGATAGATATTGCTGTCCTCTGAATAATAGAAATGATGAAAGAGAACAAGGAATAAAGGTTACCTTTAGCTCCACACCATACTCCAGTCTTGAACGAATCCCCACAATGGAATGTTCCACACTGCACTCCCTCAAAAAGCACCCATGCGAAACTATAGAATCTTTAACCTGTAATAACAAACAGGGGTTATAAGGTCTCGAGACTCTCGACCTGTGGCGCCATAACATCTTAAACGGTATGGTACTAAGTTGAAATTATACCTGGCATTTCTCTATTTTTGTTGGAGGTAGAAAACGAGGAGATGTGAAAATTGGTTTGGATGGATCAAAGAATTGGAACTTGGGAGGCTTCAGAAAAAAGAGAATAAAAGCATCATACTAACTTGTTTTAGACAAGAAAAGACAACTGGCAGAGAATGTAAAAGAACTACCTGATCAGTCAAGGATAAATTTGCATCAAAGAAGGATTTAATAGTCCCGATATCTTCCCAGTAGCCATTGTATAGATACGCCTATCATGAAAGGAAAGATATAAAAGTGCTTGAGATGCTTTCTGTTATAATAATAGGAAACGGGAGCTCAATGCAAACTAGTACATGCATACATGTCAAATCATCCTATTCTCATCATCAAATTATTAATTAATTAAAACTTCTGCTAGATTCAAGATTCTACCTGAACATTAAAATCTTTTGCAGCCATCGGAATTACTTCTGACCCAAAATCATTGGCCTCTGGATAATGCCACCTGTAGAAGAAAAAATAAATTTAAGAGAAATAGGCATTATTCCTGTCAGCAGTCCACTTATATTCAATGACAAAAAAAAATCATTTAACCTTCATAATAACTCTGCTTATGTTTCTGCTAACTATTAAAGCAAGGAAAAACATACAAGATAAAAATGTGTGGATACTACATGTCATCACTAAAACTTGGCAAAAAATGTAAAAAAACCTCAGAAGCTTCAATAGAACTTCTGTCTTGAACAGATATACACCCATTGATGCAATGTATGGGGTATTCTTTGCTTCTTGAGCTGATAGTCCTAGAATAGTGGTGTCTACTTGCTGAGACAAAAAAAAAAAAATTTCAATCAGCTTCAATCTAGTTTCCATGGACTACTCATTCAGTAACGGATTTCTTTAGATGTTAATTTAAGGAAAAGTGGACAGGTTAACAACCATAGATCTCAAACTTTCACCCTTGGGTTTCTCTAGAAACTGCCTGATCCTTCCTGTTTCATCAATCTTCACCAACCCAAAATCCGAGGCACGACTGCAGGAAAGAAGACATTAAAAGGAACTTCAACCAAGTAATTGAAAAGCAATTATATCTTTCTAGGACGGATTGCACTCTTTTGCAAGCTATTGGTACATGCTCAATCAAAATTGGGTCTATTATGATATATAAATAATTAATTACCTGTTATCTACGGGAAGACAAGAAACTGATATATCAGCACCTGAATCAATGTGATGCTGCGAACAGAGATCATGTTTTTCAAAACAAAAGTAAAAAAGAAAATTTTACATAAAAGATGGAAATAATAGGGCAGAGAAATAACTGAGTTAGCAGCTATGGTTAACCTGCACAAAGTCCATATAATCCATTCGATAGAGATGATCACCCGACAAAATGAGAATGTTCTCAAGGTTCCTATGCTTAGCATCCTACAAACAAAACCACAATTATGCCATCAATGTTGATAACATCATATCCATAGATGTCTTTCCGACTTTCCGTCTGGATAATTAAATAAAGACATCTCTAATCAAATAGCAATTTTCACATATATTTATTCCTGTGCATCAGCAAATAGGTCATGGATTCAAGAAGAATTAATTTACATGCCTCAAACAACCAGATGAACTGTCTTACAGCATCTGCTGTACCCTGAAACCACTTCTTCCCTGATTCACCTGGCGTTTGGGTGGCTGCTAATACCTATTACCATCAGTGAAGCAGAATCGGAATCAGAAGAATAGTAGTAGATGACAGTATCTAACCCAGTCAAATGAGAAGTTTTTAGTGGTATATAACATTTGACTATCATCTCAAGTATGAGTGCGATTCAACATACCTCCACAAAACCATCACCAAAATTCACACCATTTCCCAAATTATATGTTCGAGCAATGTGTCGGTTGAGAGATTGAGAATTGAACTGGGTAAGGATATATATCTTGTTAATTCCACTGTTGATACAATTACTCATGGGGACATCTATCAGTCTATAACATCCCCCAATTGGTACCTAAAACATCACATAAAAGATCCAGCCAAAAAAGTGAAATGGTTAAGAGGCAATTGGAGTCATTCTAATCTTAAAAGAAGCATGTAGTAGTTAAGAGTTAGCTTACGGCCGGCTTAGCTCTTCTTCCAGTAAGTGGAAAAAGTCGTGTCCCGGCTCCACCACCTAATATGATGGAGGCCACAGTCTTGGGGTCTGCTTCCTGTTTAGCAAGTACTGGTGCCTGGTAACTCTGCATTGCAAGGTCATAATCACAAAGAAACGCATATATAACTGTAATGACACAAAAACAATATATAAACTATGAGCACAGAGAAAACTAAATTCCAATTTCAATGAGATAGCTGTTGATCCAAAAACGCAGGGGTGGAAGTTACCATGAAATCTTTGGCAACATCTGCAAGAATAGAATTAACCGAGAATCGTTTCGTAATTGTGGCACATCTTTTCGTGGGAATGTTCAACTTCCGTAACTGAACACCTGATATGACGCTGTTGGGCTGCCCGGCGCCCACTTTACTACCCAAGAATGAGGAAGTTAACAACACCTTTTTATCGGGCGATGGTGATGGCATCCTTGGAGATAATGAGCTAAGTCCAGGTAACTCCATTGCCATTGTTTTCTATACGTCACTTGCTCAGGAGTTCTCTTCTTCCTTTAAACGAGTTCCAGAACAACCCTCTCTTGGCTTCTGTTGTTAGGTTGCTCTCTTGTTCTATTTGCAGGGATCACAAAACAATTGGACGCATTTCAAATCTGAAGATTTGTAATTATTGCACTCATTGGGATTAGAAATCACAAGCTCAATTTAAAAATAAATAAAATAACATAAAGAAGTTACCTCCACATCACTCGATTAACGTAGCTCGCAAATTATTCTTAAAAATGTATATTAAAAATGAAAACCAAATCAAAGAATAGAATCGAAATAGCTTACTCAATCTCACTAACAACCCATTGAAAACAGGTAATTAATCACCACATGTATTAATTCTCTACCTCTGCTTTGCTTTAATGTTGATGAACGAAATTAGATTATGTTAATGTAATATTTAGAATAAAATAAAGCTCAAGTTGCCTGCGAATATAGGAAAGAATGGCTCCAACAATCCAAAAAAAACCCGGAATTACTTTTTCTTTTTTATAAAAACTTTCATTCTTAAAACTGAGTTTAAGTTTTCGAGATTCTCAACAGCTTAGAATAAAAGCTTCTACATCCAGCATGTTAACGTTTAAGGTCGTACGTCGTTTCCCTCTCCTTGGGGTTTCCGTTTTCAACGACTAAACACATGCTACAAGTCACCAAACAATAATTAAATATAAAAATATGCACGAGAAAATTCACTCACCCTCTGACTCTCTATTCGTTGAATAAGAAGGAAACACCGACTAACATTAATCTTCAT